ACACTATCCGGCCTGGCTCGTAAAAGGAGAAAGTAAAAATATTACTAGTTCAATACAGGAGCACTTAATTAAGTATGGACACATCACTTCAAAGGACTTTTCTTTCAAAGTAATCTACAGAATCAAAGGAACTGTATTGAAGGCGGTTCGAGCCAATATTTTATACACAGCTAAAGCATTGGTAATCCACAAACTCAAGCCTGAACTTTGCGTGCAGAAACGATTTGTCCAACCTCTCATCCTTCCTTGGCCCAAAATTTCCTTAATGGGTATGTTTCTGTTTCTGTGTTTTTTCTTTTTCTGCACTTTCAATTGATTACTATCGATTTTTTAAATTGATTTTTTACATTTTGAAACTCTAATCATCTATTATTATCCTTACTTATTACAAGTTTTCGTGATTGTTCTTCAGTTTATTATTTTGACCTTCGTGTTTCTCACTTTTCTTCGTATCTGTCAATTGGACTATTATCTGACCCATGAATTATTTCCTTCAATACCCTTTGATTAGTACTTTAACCTCATTTGTTATTTACTCTGGGGTCCATTTTGTGATACAATTCTCTCTATTCTCCTCTAGATATACATTTTCCGTATAACTATATATACGAATGTACAGCTTAAGTAAATGTTTTCGTCCATAAGAAAATTTTCTTCGCTGAATTCTCTTTTTCTGATTATATTAGAGGATGATGAAACAAATACATCTTGGGAAGTGCCGCAAGATGTTTACCCAACATTATGTGGTTGAAGCTGGACTACCTGAGACTCACCAGCCTCATGTCGGTGAGATGCTCTGGGGAGAGTTGAGCAGGAAGCTCAAAATTCCCGGAATTGAGCCCCCTACAGTTACACAGCCCAGCTGGTTGATGATTTCTTTGCCACAGTATCGTGCAAGACTCTATCGTCTAACATTTACCCTCACTGCTGACTAGTCATCTGCTGAAATCAGAAGGGAATTTAAGAATACTGCCTTACATAATCTCATCGGAAACATCCCTAAGAATGTATCGTTACGAAAGGTTTTCCAGATAACTTGGACCCTGACTATGTAGTCATTAGTATTATAGGGTAAAAATTTATGAGGCAGTCCTTAAGGCTCAAGAACACATTGATTCAACAAGTGGGGCTGCCAGCCGAGAAAGATTGGTTTCTTACCTCAGTTAATTAAGATAATCTCCTAATCCTCTAAAAAGCGAATTTGACTCCCTAAGCATTTTTGCCGACAGACGTTGATTAACAAATGGAGTCCACATGCATCCAGACCTAATCCTGAAGTTATAGATTTGTCATGATGTGAAAACCTAATCCATGAGAACTTACCTTAAGATTATATCAATGTCTATTCCGACTAGTCCTATCGCAATAAACTGCAATATGATATTCGGTGTTTCTAAAGAATGCATTTAGCCTGGAGATTAAGCAATATATTCAGTATGAATAGGAGATAAGTCATACAAGGATGACCATGCCTGCAAAGCTGAGCCATGCTGTCCAAATAATTCAATTTATTGTTCGCGGGTTGACTAAGTTTGACCCTCCTTTAGTGTTAAATGTTGAAAGTGAATCCACTCAGTGGTCATATGTTCAGTTTTGAAGATCATGTCGTTAGAAAGCAATACCACTAAAAGGCCGCATGGTACAAGGGTCAAGCATAAAAGCGAATTGAAGCTGAATATTCCAAGAAAAATGTTGGAAGGGATAGGAGTTACCAACGCGGAAAACTCTGTGTATGCATGTTGAGTGTTTATTCACGTAAGCTCTTTGAAACAAACAGATCGATGAAGCTCATGTGCTGCAAATCGAAGCCATAAAGTGTTTATATAAGAACATTGTGAGTTTATTGGATAAAATATATGAGCTGCGTGAAATAAGTAATGCTAATTATACACATCTGATAGAAATATCTGAAACAAGGCTTCTAAACGTGCGGACAGGCAGCTAGCAATACTCAGCAAGAATTTTTTTCGTAACGATAGGTAAACAAAAATGAAGGACGAAGAAGCCCTGTATCTTTGAAATTCCTTGGTAGCACATTCAGTCTACACTCAAGATTTAATGAATCACAATAAATTTGAATGGTGCACAATAAGATTGTCTTACTATTCGTGATGTCTCGTTGGAGTTATCTACAGGAAGTTCACTGTTGAAGCTGAGTACAACGATTGTCTGCTGGTGGGAATATTACGCTCTATTCGTATCAATTACATTCATATCCAACTTCTAGAATATTTAAATCTTCCTAAACCCAACGTTACCGAACACATGTACAAATCTATTTAATCTCAGTTCTTTAATTTAACTGAAGATCTGAGGTTATTTGAAAATGTGAATTTGATTGATCTCTGGAGAAATAGTTAGACTCTGTCACGGTTAGATGCATATTTGCGAAGAACTTTACACAAGCTGTCTCCAAAAAACTCAAGAAACTCACAGTCACAAGTAATTCCACTATTCGAATGGTAAAACGAAAAAGTCACTACTGGGCGAAATATAAAGAAACTAGAGACAACAGCACTTATAAACAGTTCAAAAAAATCTGGGAGCCAACGAACAAACGTACAAAGAGAATAAAGGAGTCACTATCAGATAGAGCTAATCAATCTGTTTTTTTCCAATCCGAAAAGCTTATTTCTTCATGCGGATTCTCTTCGACAGGTTAAAACTGGTGTTTCCCAAGTACTATGTGTTAACAAATACGTTGACGCCACTGACATTTTGGTAGAACGGTACTTTCAGGCATTTCAGCCGTTTTATACTAATTATGTCGACTAGAGTTTCTTTTCCAACTCAATAGGACTCTCAGAAGTGAATCTGAACGGCCACTTGGAGTATCAGAAACTGCAGTATTTAGACATGGACACTTCTGTCCCTGATATTGTTCCTTCTACCTAACTCAGGGAAATAGCTTCAACTTTGGCAACACCATCAAGCTACAGGCCGGTAACACTTCTCTCAATATTTCAGAAATTATGGAGTCTCTGATGTACGACGATTTGAGTGACTAATTGTTCTCTATAAAATTCTTTCATTCAAACAACTTAGTTACAGGAAGAGCCATTCCCGTTAACCGAGCCAATTAACGCGGTGGAAATATGCTCAACCACAATCGATCGCAAGCGAATGTGTCATTGAATTTGGATAGTGACAATATTATGTATCTCATGAGTAATCTTAAACTATAAGAGATCTAGTCAACGTTAACAGATTGGTTTATTTCATACATAAATAATCGCCTATGTAAGGTCGTGGTAAACTACACTTTTTTTACGGCTACTGAATGTCTTGGTGGAGTCCCTCAGGGTTCACCACTAGGACCTCTTCTTTTCCTAATCTTGTTAAACAACCGTCTTCAGCAGATATCATTTAACCTATTACTTTTTTCTGTTGACATGAAATTCTGCAACCAAGATGATAGGTTGACAATTCCGGAGGATCTGACTCGACTTTAAAGTCTGGTGGATAACGCTTAGCGCTTCAAAATGTAATGCAGTCAATCTGAGATGCTTTGCAGACTGCACCTATAATTAAGATAACTTCCCTTTTGAGGTGTCCTAAGTTTAGAAAGATCTAGGAGTTTTGACATCTAATAGTTTGCATTCCTACGCTAACTACGATAAAAATGCTTTCCAGGAGAACCTGGCACTGGTAATATTGAAGGGCATTTTTGCCAGTTTAGCGGAAAAAAACGTCTGCATACTCATTAACAGTTTAGTTCGACCTCATTTAGAGTACGGGAATATACTATTTTTACCTCACTCCGAAAGGATGAGGATACATTGGAACTTATGCAACGGTTAGCGCGAAATCAGTTCGGGGAATCAGATTTAAGCCATATGAAGAGCGTTTAAGATCATTGAACCTTCATGCACCAGAGTATAGACGTTTTAGAAATAACCACCTAATGACTTACAACACCCTGAATAGAAATTTTGGAGGTCATGATTCTGGTACAATTTGAACAGTAATGGCGTGTTCACTTTTTGACTATGGAACCCTTAACTCTAAAAAAGTCGAAAATTCAAAATACATAATCCGATCCAAAGTAATATTTGTCAGAGACAAATCAGTAATGACTACAATTGACTGATCAGTGGGTGGCGATCAATGTCATGTGTGTCAAGTCCTTCTTATTTGCAATGTGGTCACTAGTCTTAGTGACCCGACATTGCGTGCACTATATTGAGATTAGATGGTGGTTGGAGGTAGCCAACCGAAAACCCTGAACCCGGGGTTTTGCTACTCGGCACTCAGATAGACTAGTGGTAACGTTTCTGACTATGAAGCTGATTGACAAGGGATCGAATCTGTCAGGGAACACCAGTTCTCTCAATATTACGAGTACTTCTTGCTGACGAGTTCCAAATAACACGAAACCCGGGTCCATGTTTTCCTGTTGACCACCTTCAATCTCGACAAACCAGTAATGAGGACATAGATGTGGTCTACAAACGTATTTGGTAATTATGTTAGTGATGTATTCATGAGATAGAGCATTAAATGAGGAGTTTGTGGGAAGCATTCCACTTGTGAATGATATTCAGTTTGTCTTGTAGGCGGAAACGGAAAGGAAAGCTCAAGGCCAAACTACCACAACAACTATGTGGTAAATTTCAGTGATTGTACAAATCAAGTGAAATTATAAGAAATGTGAGTAATGAAAAGAGTTATTATCGAAAAATGTTTACTCTAGTCACTTCCACAACAATACTGAGGTCCCTCAACCGTACAGTTAAACCACGACACTATGACGAACAATCAGTTGGTTTACACCAACTCGTTACAGTGACACTACATACTGGTACCACAATCAAATAAGACGTTACATAAAGCTGGCTGGTGACAATTGCGATTCTTTTTTGTACTTGTCAGCGAAAGTCACTGTTTTCGAACCACTTGACACACTTAATAGTGTTTACTTTGACGATGCTAGGAAACACGTAACTCTGATTTTATCATGTAAACGTTTGTAGATATTTACTCTCAGGAGTCGTGGCACGATGGGTGTCAATGTCAAATCTGTTGTTGATGACTTGGTTTTGAATTTTCGGTAAGTTATATTCTAGTCAAAAGGATTTTGCTCATAACTGATTGGCCGGAAATCTTTAGTAATCTTGGGTTGTGGAGACCTTACTTCAAGTCGTCATTCCCTAGACTTCTACATACAACTGTAACTAACAGTAGTTCTAAACAGGAGTATGAATTAGAGTTTACTTCACCAACGACCTTAAATTTCTACTCAGGTCATTTAGCTATGTAAATGCTCCACCCTAAAATTCAGTTTTTCCTGGGTTGATGTGTTCAAATATAAATCTATGATCATCCTCTACTTCATTTTATTTGTGTCAAACTATATCCTTGTATTGAATTTTTCACAATACTGAGGAAAATTAAGAGGTCGATTAAGGATATGAATAGAGGAATTCTAGCACGAACATGCACGACGTTTGCCAACGTTACATAAAGTGATATTTCCGGTATCAGTTCTATTTCCTGTATTTATGTGAACTTTGAGCTCGGTAGCTCCGAAGCACTCACTCCTTGTCTACACTTAGATCCAGAGTTTCAATGCTTCATGCTTTTACCTTGTGAATTCTTTTGCCGAATTATATTCTCCATCTCATCTTTTTATGTACTATCGCTGATATTGCTGCTTCTGCTGCATTATTACCTTGTTGACTTCTCGTCGCTCGGCTTATGGAGTGTTGGACTTTTACAAGTGCATATTTATTCCGGATTCTACATTGCTTACGTCTTAATTGGTAGTTTAATATCATTTCCACCCTGATGAACAGCAGTTGATTTCTATTCTGGTCTCTATTTCCATCTAACAGGTTTGAACCTATTTTTAATTTTCTTGGTTTACTCTACGGGAAATAGTTCTAAGTGTATAAAAAATGTCCAAATTTTCTAGGTTTTCTAAGTAGTAACTGGTTTGTCTGCCATCTAATCTACGATTAAAAATATTTAGACGTTGAATTTTTCCGGTATTAGTGTTACAAATTATGTTTGGTTTTAGTAAATAACAGATTAGGGGCAACATTATATTAGACACTGCACAACTTTTGTGTGTATGAAAAAAATATCTTGCATTTTTCTATCCAGAATGTTTTTAGCCATATCGTTCTTGCTGTACCTTTGGATCATTTTGTTTATTTCTATTTTTATGGGTTTTCGTATCACAGCATAGATGATCAGGGCGAAGTTTTGAGCATTAAGTTTTCTGAGGATAACAAAATCTTGGGAATTCAGCGGACTCATCGATCAATTGACTTTTTAAATTTTCAAGCCAATTGCCCCAGTGGCGTACAGTATTCTCAAGAATGCAAGGTTGCCTTATTTCTTATAGTAACTTCTCACGTTTTCGTGTGTAGTGTAAATCAGCATCGCTTCTGGGATTTGTGTGGTGTTCCAATTATGAGGTCCTTTTTGTCACAAATGAACAACTGGAGTTATATCAAGTAATTTTACTTTTTTAACGTCTTACAAACATTCGTTTTATCTGACGTAGTTTCAATTTCCCTGAGATTAGTCCCAAACATGAGCTGACATTTAGCGGAAACTATTTACAGATGAGGAGTATAACAAGTATCTAGGTTTATAAACGACTATATTAAGTAGTGTTATCGTTATTTAAAGGTTTCGGAGATTGAGGTCATCATATTTCAGAAAACGTTACTATATTTTTAAAGGAAATCGATGAATCATTATTTATGTTCCTATCGTTTGTTGAACTCGGACGAACCGTATGCCGAAATTCTGATTTTTCGGATTTCTATTTATTTATTCATTTAAACATAACTATTGATACAAAGGGACGCCAAATATATATGCACTACACAGTAACAATGTGGCTGTGAAGAGAGAGAATCTAAAGTGAGTACAGGAAAAAGGAGAACAACAACGAACAGAAATTAGTGTATGATAGCGAAACAATAATGGTGATAATGGGAGAATTAGTTCAGTCATCAAAAATGCAACCAAAAAAGGATTCTTTCAGTTAAAGAAGTTACATTCATTTTTTCTGAAGAAAGTAAAGGAAGGTTACAGCAGGATCACCACTGGCTTCTATTCTGAGCCATATCTGATAACGTCTCTAGCCACTGTGTTACACTATCTCTCGGACCCCACTCAGCCAGGGAGTCGTGAAATGCCAACAGAAGCTAGCCCTTTGCAGCTTTTTTTCATACCACGACACCATGTTATACACTGACCACCTCTCCGCTTTTTCCAACCAGTCCCAGAGTCGGCAAATAATACACGACGAGGAATTCTCTGGGACGACATTCGTAAAACATGTCCAAGCCACCGAAGTCGGTGTTTTAAGATGGTGACACCAATTTCATTATCGTCTCTGTGACCGAACACTCGATGCCGAACCTCTGCATTACTGACATGGTGTTGCCACTGGATGCCAGCAATCCTTCGGAGACAACGATGATCGAACACAGAGAGTCGTCTAACATCCTCAACTCGGAGAGGCCAGGTTTCACAAGCATAGAGCAAAACTGCTCTCACCGTCGCGTTGTAGATCCGACCTTTTACAGCCAGACTAACATCACGAAGGCGCCAAAGATGGCCCAGATTGGCATAAGCCGCTCTGGCTTTCACTATACGTGCATTGATCTCATCACTCACACCACCACCAGCACTTATGCAGCTACCTAGATACACGAACTTCTCGACTACTTCTATCTGCTTACTACCCAGGGTGAGTGCTGGATCAAGCTCTTGCCAGTCTTGTAGAAGTACTTTGCACTTCGATGGTGTAAAGCACACACTATATCTACGGACACTAATTGCCAACTGGTTAAGTGAGGATTGTATGACTTGGGTATCGTCGCATAGTAAGACAATATCATCTTTATACTCAAGGTCGAGAAGTCTTTCTCTAGGCAACAGATCCACACGCCATTACTTGCATCCATCAGAGCTGTTTCCAGAACGTCGATAAGTATTAGTGATTGGCATCCCGTTTTCTTCACAGATTGTTTCTCACACCAGACTTCTTGCTGCCAGTGGGTCGGATGAGTTTGAAGAGCTTCCAGATGCAGCTGCTGCTTCTAACAGTACATAACCGACTGTTAATGGGGTTATATTCTAATAGTGCTTCTTCCGCTTTGGAGGTACTTGAAAATAACATTGGGTTAGGGGTGGTCTTAGTGACCTGAGGATGTGACCGTAATGCTAAAGGGCAACTGCTTAATGCCAGTAATACACGACCGTGGCATCTATTAGTTACTGGAACATAGATGGGGTGGTCTTAACTTCAAATGGTTGGCGGTTATATTGAGACAAGCTACGATGAGTGTTAATTATTCGCGGCTCTCTCGATTCTTCAGCCACTTCCATTTGTAAATAGGCATCAGTAAGATCCAACTTTGCAAATAACTTTCCACCATTTAACATAGTGAACAAATCTGCAAGACTGTCGGCGGATAATGATGCTACTTTAGAGTTGCGTTAAGACCTGTGGAGAAATTTGCGCATATTTGTATTGCGTCATTAGCCTTCTTAATAACCATAATGAGTGTTTTCCAAGCAGATTAAGAAACAGGCGTAATAACTCCTTGTAGTTCAGCTCCGTACAGTAGAACAGCTTTGACGTTCGTATTGAAGATTCTGACTTTGATATTGGTTGAAAGTTGTTTTGAGTTCCATATGTTCTTCAATTGTAGGAATGCGGCTGTTGCTTTGCCAATCCTCGCCTTTACGTCTGCATCTGATCTTCCTTGTTCACCGATGATGCTTCCCAGGTATGTGAAGGATTCTACATCTTCTAGAGTTTCGCCATCAAGTGTGATTGGATTGCTGTTCTCCGTGTTGTATTTGAGGACCTTGGTTTTTCCCTTGTGTATTTTGAGGCCTACTGATGCTACACTGGCTGTCTTTATTTGCATTTGTTCGTGTGTATGCGATAGGAGGGCTAGGTCATCTGCGAAGTCCAAATCGTCTAATTGGTTCTGAGCTGTCCATTGTATGCCGTGTTTTCCCTCAGATGTCGAGGTCTTCATAATCCAGTCGACCACCAGAAGAAAGACCAAGGGAAAGAGTAGACAGCTTTGTTTGACTCCGGTCCTTACTTGGAATGCATCTACCAGCCGTCCTCAATGCACGACCTTGCACTGAAGTCCGTCGTATGTGTTCCGGATAATGTTGACAATCTTCTCAGGAACTCCATAGTGTCGAAGAAGTTTCCATAACGTCCTCCCATCTACACTGTCAAACGCCTTTTCATATAACTATGGTTGATTGCAAATAATCAAAGATTTAAAAATGGTTTACAAGGATGATATGAGTGTAAAATCCCTACCATTTTCAATGTGGGAGTAACATGATTCGATCCAGCCATAAACGAATACCAGAAGCACGGTAAAAGTATAACGTTCCACCGTCCAACGAACTTGTCTCCGCCTCAAAGCTTTCCTAAAGTCAAGTCGCACTACTCAATTTTCTGAATTATAGTTTATATTGCAGGTCTTAAACTTGTTACCACATAGTTAAAGCTGAGTTTTTATTAATTCATCTTCAGAAATCCAAGTAACTTAATTAGGGTTTGACTTAAATATTTAGTGATTTATTGGTTGAAAAGTGTTCAGTATATTAAAAGTTTGGTTTCAACTGTGTTTTGTGTTTTGTAATGCCTTATGTAGGTGTCAATTTTTATACTTTGGTACTAAAAAACATTGAGTTATTTTCATATTTTCCGAAATTCAACAATAACCAGCAGTTCGGTTACATCACGTTCTTTTCAAAATTTTATATGGCCACGCGTATACAGCCATTGTCAGGAGAGTCCTACTCATTAACTTCTCGCGGCAAAGGCATGGTTCACGAAATTGAGAGGATGAAAAGCGAATGTCAGACGCTTTAAGTGGATTGGTGGACACGGACGGTTCACCTATGAGAGTTGAAAAACCCTGATTCCAAATTAATGATGCACATGGACTCCAGTATACTGAGGGAACAAGTGGAGTATGAAGCAATTATTGGTCACCGTCTGCCATGGGACTGCATCTCCTTACGTTGCTCCACTGCCTTGTGGATCAAACCTTTAGGTCGAAGGCTCTAATTGGTTTTAACTTCTCAATTTTCATCTTATTGTTTTTCCGTATAAGTCAGCATTTCAAATCATTCTTGTTTCTATATCACACTAGGTATTGCCTGAGAAGAATACTCTGCGCGTAAATAGTTCTATACCTCTCAACACTTGCTGGTTTTTATGGAACCCAGAGACTCATATTTGTATCACTTCAGACCTAGAGAAAAAACTGCATATGTTTCAGCTGAAGGTAAGATGGAGTTGAAATTTCTGTGTATAAAAATTTGTCAACTATTCCGACTCTTCAACTTATACTATTTTCAACGGAACTCAAATATTTTTCTTAACGAAATTGTGTATGTCACTATCCTTTGTCGCATATTTGATAACTGGAGGAATCAGCTGGAAAAATTCATGAGTCATCAGTCCATTGTATCGGCAAACTGTTAATTTGATAATGTAGAAAATAATAAAGGTTAAAGAGAAAGTCTTCCTTCATAAAGCCAAAATTAAAATAATTACTTTTTTAAAAAAAAATTTCAAACGGTATTTGTGTACCCCATGTTTTTAGAGTACTTTCAAGTTATTTAAACCACTTCAAGGAATTGTAATCAGATCCAAAATGAATTAGTCGACAAATAAGCTTATTGGAATTCATATTTATGAATTAACCATTTTAATAATGAATGAGAGGTAAATTGTACTACATATTTTATTTTTCCGAGTCACATAAAAATATCAAAATTTCATTTTGAATCGATCTTTTTCAATCAGTAAATATTCATATTTGTTTCAGTATTTTCTTTCTCCGAAGATTGTAAAGCCACACAATCTTCATTGACAACAAATCGGAAATTAAAGTACTTTTTCGCTCATTAAAGATGTTTTTGCACAAGAAGGTTACTGCTAATTTGGTTAAATTTTTATTTTAGATTGAAAATCTTCAATAATCTTTTTCCTTCCTCATAGACACCCGGCACAATCACAAAAGGACCAAAGTTCCTGTCTCCGACATCGGTAGGGGCTAATGGTGATACCACGTCGATTGAACAGAAACACTGTTTTTTAGCTTTATTGTAAGTAGGGTTTTGTGCTTTCTAACTTTTCTTTTCAGATATGAGGATTTGTACTTTTGTGCTCTTCGCTACGTAAAGCTATATAACGAACAAAATCTTACCCGAACTATTAGTTTTTATACTTTAAAAATGTAAGCCTTCTGTTTCTCGAGTTTATTGGATCCCTTTTTTATATTTTAGAGAAGATCCCATCGTATTGACACACCTCGTAATTTTAGATTCTCAGGGTCCTGTGTCATTTAGTGTATTGGATAACCTGTTCATGGTACACTATCAGAGCAGAAAGGTGTGTATATACAGTTATATTCGTTTGAGAAATATTTCACTGTTTTATTCTCACAACTATATGGTCTCATGCAAGTTACTGCAGTGATAATTACACATAATGTTCATTGGGTGGACTGGGTTTTTATTAGCTTAAGCCTCTAAAAATAGATATACCGGTGGTGTGTTTCACTCGTATTTTTCAATTTAATAATAAAACGGTGTCTTGTTATTGGTATTGCTTCCTTGTTTTGTGTAATGAAAGTGCTTCAACTAAATACATTAATCTTGGTACTGGAATAAGAGTAATCTCGTTTCTAGATGCTGATCTCCAGCTAATTATTTCTCAACATTAGAAGTAATCATGTCTATCACTCCTCTTTTAATCTTCTATATCCTAATCCTTTGTTGATAATATATTATATTAGGGATGTTAGAATTTTGCGTTTTAAGTTGACTTAGATGTTATGGGTACGTAGTTTTATTAATATTCAATTGCCTTAAGTGTCTATCAGGTGCTTCTCCATTTGTTAGGTACTCATAAAACATATTTTTCGAAGATAGAAAAAACATGTGGTTAGCCTTGTCTCACTATCACAATTTTTAAAACGTTACTCTGATTATAATTTGTGCAAAGTACATAATCCTGGATGGAGAAGCAGCATCTAAGGAAGATGAGCACTTACAACATATTGTATTTGTCTCCGTTTCCAGGTTGCTCAGGAAGTCGGGGATCTCTAAGATAGTGGGTGATCAAAATGTATAAGAGAACAAGTCAAAGGAGTAAATCTCTAAGATGACTTTTTATCGACTTAATTCTAACGTCCATCTTTGTATATTTTTGAAACGGTGTTTGTGCATTAAAAATCTTCATTGTGTGTTATATTTCTACATCTTCTATGCACACCGTTCTATTAAACAAGTCAAGTAAATGTAGTACAAGGTTTCTCGCGTATACGAAATAGTTGACTTAATGTGTTGCGCTACTCTGAAGAAGTGGCTTAAACTGAGTCATGGAATGTCGGAATTTAAATGTTTTGCCTTCTAAGTAATTTAAAAATATTTATATTTATTTATTTATTTATTTGAACACATAAATATTGGCACAGAGGGGCACCAAATATATATGCGCCACACAAAACAGTGATAATTAGAAGAGAAGGAGAAAAGAGAAGAAAAAAAAAGTAATGAACGTGGGGAATTATAAAAAAAAGAAGAGAGAGAGAACAATGGTGGGGGAAACGGAAAGGTACAATCAGAACAGATCTTTCAGTTAAGGAAGAATACGACCACCTTTTATGAAGAAAGTAAAAGAAGGTTACAGCAGGATCGCCACTGGCTTCTATTCTGAGCCATATCTGATAACGTCTCTAGCCACTGTGTTACACCATCTCTCGGACCCCAACCAGGGAGTCGTGAAGGACCAACATAAGCTAGCCCTTTGCAGCTTTCTTTCATACCACGACACCATGTCATATACTGACCACCTCTCCGCTTTTTCCAACCAGTCCCAGAGTCGGCAAATAATGCACGACGAGGAATTCTCTGGGACGACATTCGTAGAACATGTCCAAGCCACCGAAGTCGGTGTTTCAAGATGGTGACACCAATTTCATTATCGTCTCTGTGACCGAACACTCGATGCCGAACCTCTGCATTACTGACATGGTGTTGCCACTGGATGCCAGCAATCCTTCGGAGGCAACGATGATCGAACACAGAGAGTCGTCTAACATCCTCAACTCGGAGAGGCCAGGTTTCGGTGGTGTAGTGGCTATCATGTCTGCTTTACACGCAGAAGGTCCCCGGTTCGAACCCGGGCCGAGCCAGAATTTGCCCCCAAATGCCCTGGTAGCCCCCAAATGCCCTGGTATGGCCGAGAGCGGGGAGGGTTCGCCCTCCCTCTCGAAATACTCTCACACGGCCACGCGTATACAGCCTCTGCCAGGGAAGTCCTACTCACTGCCTTCTCGTGGCGGGGGTGTTGTTTACGAAAATGAGAGGACGAAAAGCGAACGTCCGGCGCTATAACCGGATCCCAATTCTATGGTGCACATGGGCTCCAGTATCCTGAAGGAACAAATGGCGTATGAACCAACTTTTGGTCACCGGCTTCCATGGGACTGCATCTCCTCACGATGCTCCACTGCCTTGTGGACTAGACCTTTAGGTCAAAGGCTCGGGGTGTGGCCCCCTAAGAAAACCACCTGCTTCGGTTTGGGCACCCGGGCAGTATCTCAGCCCACACACCAAAACATGATGAAATATTCGCTTACGGAAAATTTAAAAATATATAATCATTTTATTTATTTTGTATGGTTTCTTGCTGAATAAGAAGTTTAGGCATCACACTTAGTTTATAAAATTGAGTTGTGTTTATTATATATGTAAATTATATTTGAAATAATCTCAGCGATTGAAATTTAAATAATTCCAACGTTTCGTCCCGCTAACTTGTATGGACTTCTTCAGGATAATAATCAAAATCATAAAAGAAATATATAGCTTTTAACAATCATAACTGTACTTTGTTAAACCAATCAAATTTGGATGTTGATTTTTGTAACATAGGATATAATGAGTCAGTTAACTCCAATTTCATGTGAAAAGATTCGGCTACATGGAAATAATTACCTGTAACAACATCAAGTGTATGTCTGTGTGTGAGTGCGTAAGTATGTATGTATGTGTGAGATTGATCATTGATGTTCTGTGTAATTCTGTTATGTATGAAAGGATAAGAAAATAACTAGAAGTGCAAGTTCAAGGTTAAATAATTGTTAATGAATCATCGATGTACATGTCAAAATTTAAGAATCCAACTGATACATAATTTCACTGGTTGAAATCATGAATCCATTGAAGCTAGACCACCATGGAAAACCTAGAAGCACTGGACGGCCGTTTCGTCCTAGTATGGGACTCCTCAGCTGTGCGCATCCACGATCCCGCTTCTCGCGAGATTCGAACCCAGGACCTATCAGTCTCGCGTCAGGCGCTTATCCAACTAGACCACTGAGCCGGCATCCAACGGTGTTAATGTCTAACTTCAACCAATCCACGAAGTTGCGCCACCGTACACCATTGTCTTCAGTGAGCTGATATCTCACAACAGACCTGGTTGAACCCCACTGGTAACGGCTTCTCACTAGAACTTCAGGAGTATCTATTTTGAAGTCAGTCACTAGTGAGCAGATGATTATTATTATCAGAAGGGATTGTGTGGAGATTTTAGAAATTTCACTGGTTGAAATCATGAATCCATTGAAGCTAGACCACCATTGAAAACCTGGAAGCACTGGACGGCCGTTTCGTCTTAGTATGGGACTCCTCAGCAGTGAGATATCAGCTCACTGAAGACAATGGTGTACGGTGGCGCAACTTCGTGGATTGGTTGAAGTTAGACATTAACACCGTTGGATGCCGGCTCAGTGGTCCAGTTGGTTAAACGCCTGGCGTGAGACTGATATGTCCTGGGTTCGAATCTCGCGAGGAGCGGGATCGTGGATGCGCGCTGCTGAGGAGTCCCATACTAGGACGAAACGGCCGTCCAGTGCTTCCAGGTTTTCCATGGTGGTCTAGCTTCAATGGATTCATGATTTCAACCAGTGAAATTTCTAAAATCTCCACACAATCCCTTCTGATAATAATAATCATCTGCTCACTAGTGACTGACTTCAAAATAGATACTCCTGAAGTTCTAGTGAGAAGCCGTTACCAGTGGGGTTCAACCAGGTCTGTTGTGAGATATCAGCTCACTGAAGACAATGGTGTACGGTGGCGCAACTTCGTGGATTGGTTGAAGTTAGACATTAACACCGTTGGATGCCGGCTCAGTGGTCTAGTTGGATAAGCGCCTGACGCGAGACTGATAGGTCCTGGTTTCGAATCTCGCGAGGAGCGGGATCGTGGATGCGCACAGCTGAGGAGTCCCATACTAGGGCGAAACGGCCGTCCAGTGCTTCCAGGTTTTCCATGGTGGTCTAGCTTCAATGGATTCATGATTTCAACCAGTGAAATTTCTAAAATCTCCACACAATCCCTTCTGATAATGATACATAATTGTATTGCTAGAGCCTCATTGAATTCAGTCAGCGATAACGATGCATTTGACAAAAACAGGTTGAAAAATAAAAGATAGGGTTCAAATTACTTATCCAACGATATTTTCCAGGTATTCGCCAGTTGAATACCATCTTTTCGGTTCAGGCTGTTCTTGTTTTTTTTGTTGTTGTTTATTTTGTCTTATTTTGAATGGTATAATATTCCACTTTTAGTGGATCGTAAAGTAAACATTTTGCCGAGAACTATATGCTTATCATGTTGTTTACGTCTTACACAAAACCTCTAGATTATTATAAAGTGTGGTAAAATTGTTCCTTTAATATTGTCAAGATAAGTAAGAAACTACCAGTACTTCTTTCTAAAAAAACGTTATCCATAAATGTCGAGATCACCTGTTGCATAGATTGTTGTGTCACTGTCCCAGGTTCTACGTTGAAAAGTAAGTGATAAGTCGGTGTTCATGTTACTTATGTTTCTTATGAATACTTTTCGGTTTTGTTTTTCACTTGAATCAAACTAATAACTACATCAAACTATTTAATGTACATGAATGACGTGACATTTAAGTAGTGTAGGCAATAAAGTTATGCAGCTGAGGTTTATTCACTCTTGAAAGTTTAAAAAAAGTTTAAACTTCAGGGGTGTGATAGCAGTAAATTGTTTCCCTCAGATAAACAGTATCCACAGCGATTTTGCGTCCTTACAATGGAAGATGTTAGAAAAGGCCGACCCTAAAAATAGAATACCTCACTGTACCCTTCGTACTTTAGTCTGCTGTGGTAAAGCCTTTTAAAATACGGAGCTAACGCATCAAAAACTGCATACAAAAGGCCATATGTTACCAGCCTCAAGCAACTGTTCCTTGGTATCCGGGGTCACACTCATGTTATCATGAATAGCACTAATCCAGTTTCCATTTTAGGTTTTTCAAGAGGAAATATTCTTTTACGGTGCAGGCAACCAAAAATTGATAACTGCTCTTGTACGCCTAACAGCACGCTAGATCATTTCGTTCATAATTAATATTACTTTCAACAATTACATGTTATTGCCATCCATTTATCTGTCACCTTATCTGCTTTTTTATTGTCCGTTCACCTCAACTTTCAAAGACCGGTTTCAGTCATGTGCTTGGTCAAAACACATAGATATTATTTTGATCTCAAACATATATAACGTTTTTATAAAGGGTTTAAATTATACTGTTGTTGATATTCTCGACTGTATTTCAATATCGTTCTCCCTATTTGCTCATCAACATAGAGATACAGGTACTTCGGGCTGAGAAGTCCCAAACAGGACGAAACGCACATACCGAATTTCACTGCTAGACACAATATATCATTTTTATGAGCTCAACTTATCTAGAGGAACAGAAAAGATGTTTTGATTATCACATAGGAAGATTTATAGAAAGTTTATTAAATTTCCTGGACATTTTAAGCTGTTTAATATGTGATGTCATAAACTGAAATGCGTTATTCAAGCGGCTGCAAGCAATCTTATTTAAATTACTTCCATTATATTTCATGGTATTCCATCTGCTTCCACATTATAATCTGGCTTATGTCGTGATAATTATTTCCGGAAAGTGGTATATATGCAATATTTGGGTTTTTGTGTCATCTCTTAAGTAAACATATCTGGAATAAGAATTCGAATCTTAATAAACACATGGTGGGTTCAAAGTTGCTTTCATCAAACTAAAGCATCAATATCAAATATTTGACGTGCATATATATTTGGTGGTCGTGAATATTTCCCTGAATTTTATCTAACTAGTGTTTTGGAAACCTGTGCTTGCTCAATATTAATTTTATTCGTGCGAAATATATAGATTAGTAAAGTTAATTGTGGTAAAAATGAGATTACAAGTTCTATCTACTCATAAAGATATTAAAATTACACATTAGTAATGCTCGTAAAAGATTCAGCCTATATACATTTTCTAGAGGGTGTTGACTAAACCATTTTATGCTACCTTCATGAATTTGAAACTAATGTATACTGAGTTGATATTATTATATGGAAACCATATTATAATTGCGTCCACACTGATGAACAGCCGTAATTTGGTTGCAAATCTTTGGCTTTATCTACACATTAATTCATTTCGACAAGAAGTTTAGACTTTGTGGCATAAGTCACATAATAAATTATTTCAGTTTCATCTTGTCACTTTAGATTAAATATCATGCTTCAGTTTTAAATAGATTATGGTAAAAGTACATACTCAAAAAATGATGTTTTTAATCCAGATTCATCACTAATCATGCATATATCTTTTTCCAGATGAATTACTTACAATCTATCTTTTATCATCTATGTCAACTAACATCTCTATTGGGCTGCTACCTACAAATTTTCGAAGTTTTAAACTAGTGTGATGTTTCTATTTTTCCCGTATTATTTGTTTTTTTACCAGGTTACATCAGTTTTTGATATCGCCCTTAATGAAACCGTTCGCAATGTAATTCATCATTCACCTATATTACGTGATATTTCAATTGCACCATTCAATCTTTTCACTAAAAGTACGTCTCTCCTGCTCAACAAGTTCTTGATAAAATGAATATGTTTAGTTGAAGAAGTTTTGTGGAGATTGGTTTGATTTGTAGGTTGTATTCATCACAGGTTTATCACAACTAAGATACCACTAAAAACCTGGGAGGACTGAATAGCTGTTCCGTGTGCTGTCTATATTAATGAGTTCGTACTTTAACTTTGACAACAATCAGTAACTTATTGAACAAAATGTAAATAAAAGTGTTAATTTAGTAATTAAATTGTTCCTAGACCACTTATAATATAACGAATCAACTGGATAATCGTTCAATTCAATGGAGTGATGATTCGTACAATTAATATAGATGATATAATCGATTTTTTAAACAGATAGACACACGAACAACCACATTATTTAAAAATAACATACTAGTTCTGAATTAGTTACATGAAATAGAACGAAATAACTAATAGGATTAGAATGATGCATTTAGTTGTCACATAATTCTGTAGTATCGCATGTAGTTTAAGTCAGTAGAGTGTGTATTGACTTGCCATTTAGACTCATCACTGTTAGCTCTTAAAAATCTGCGAAACATATTTTTGTCGATCTTTATTTTTTTTGTCACTTAACTCTCATAGCACACACTGTTGTACAGTGGTTCAAGAAGTAATATCTAATTCAAGTGGTCCAGATTGTGTTTGTACTGCACTGTTAAGTAATAGTAATATTATAGTACAGAACAAATACATCTTTGTAAATACTTGGTGCTGTCTGTTCCTGGAGTGTATTATAATAAACATTTTTTTTTATTTGCTTTGATGTTCATCACTTCTACATGCTGCGTTTACATATTTTTCTACAAGCGTAACTAAACCACCAATTATGGGCTCTTTGCCCTACCATGTATGCTTTATAGCAACCTTTGTCCATATAACCCTGATTTCCGAGGCTCTCTAGGAAAAAATAAATATATATATTGCAATCAAACTTGAAATTAAGCAGTTCTAGATGGTGAATCTACAAAAATGCTGGTGTTCAGTGCCGTCCATTCTCATATTCGAATTCGGTTGTATGTAATTCATTTTTTGTGAATACTCAATGACCAAACTATAACTATTGAATATCGTAAATCATTATCAGTCATTTAGAAATATGCTAAATGCCGAAGTAAAAAGCTAAAACTACCAAATTTGGTCAAATTCGATCAGATCTTGTTGTAGGTATTTGTATCTCTTAATTTTTCCTTTTATAGGTTGACTTAAGTTTCTAATTGTATCTTACATTGTCGAAGTTTTATTACATAATAATCTGCAAATCAGTATTAATAGCTCTTTTTAGGGACCTTAAATTATCTGTTTAACGTATTTTGATTTTGCTTTTCAGTCATTCCCTCATTATCAACAAACTTGGATGCTCAAATTCCTATCGATTTATGTATCCTTGATATAAATGTAAATCTCATTCTGTCTATGCTCGGTTTTATAATTTGTAACCTTCAAAATAATGAATCACCAAATCAAATTCAGTTATTCTGTTCAATTGCTAGGGTTAATTTACCATGATCCCGTAAATCCTTCAAAGTTACAAGTAACTTAGTGATGTCATTAAGTTTGATTTGCTTAACCTATCATCCACCAAATTTGTAACGACTAGAAATGCTCGAGTTTTCAAACCTTAAGCTGCAATACCCAATTTTCTAGTTAGTGACATACACCACTTGATATTGCCTAGACACAGTGATTTGATAAACAAATATGGTACCAATTTGTTACTAAACAGGTATGAAGGTGTAGATTATACAATATAACTAAATAGTTTTAGAAAGTGGGCTGTACAGTCAGTTTTCGTTCTCGAAATCGAATACAACCAAGGCATAAAAACATCATTTGCAAGAAATATTAAAAACTATAAAATGAATTACCCATCGGAGAATAATGATGTATCCTGTGACGAAAAAAACACAGTTTTACCATACTGACTAGCTAATTTTAATACACTCAAACGTGAATTACAGGGTAAAAAGTTCAAAAAACATCAAGAATCGTGAATGTTAACTACCCGCTGAAAATCATAGGGACTTCCAACAAACTGGAAACGTACTTCAATCCATAAAGGAACGATTCAAATCAATTAGTTCAAGCAAATGTAGTCAAAAAGCGATAAATCAGTATGGCAACCGCTATAATCAGAGGCCAAGAAAAAGCACTATCAGCTAAGATGTACCAAAAAAGAAATAATACTGTGGAAGAAACGCAGTTGTAGATAAATATGTACACTAACCTTGTCCTGTATCGAAGATTAAATATGACATACGAAAAAAAAGATGGATTAGAAGGGAAATCTAGTAATCAAGGTGAAACAAAATACTAATTTCATGTAACGCGTATGTGGGAGGGATTTTTCTGCTTTTACATACGCACACACAAATACTAAAAGATCTTACAATATTATTAAGTTTCTAATCACATTGTTGTATTTTTTTCCATTGTGTTACAAAACTCCTTAACCTTGCATATTCTCACAGATTCAATGAATTGGATTATTCATCTGTGCGGCGTTGTAATTGACAACAGTCTTGGTGAGTGTTATTATTATGTTAAATTATCCGGCAAAAGTTCTGTAACCTATCCGACAATTTGTTCCTTTCTTGAGTTAACGAAGTGTACTTGAAAATTTTTTAACTTGAAATCGCTAGAACTTTATGTAAAAGATTATTAAATACACTAAATGTACACACCAAATAAACAAAAACTTCCGGTTGGGTAACGCAATCGTGGTTGCATAACTTCGTAACTACTATCAATGTTTAAAGTCAGCTTCAAATCACTTATTTCGTGTCCAAGTTTGATTATGTTTTATTTTGCATAAGCACATACAAATAAAGCGACAACTTACAAAGAAATAAAGGAGAGAGGAGTAGTACAAACTAAAAATAAATGAGCAAAAGTGGTTTTTCATAAGAGATACAGTTCAGTTGAAAGTACAGCTCGAAAGACTTCTTTCAGTTATGCGAGTTAATTTCATTTTTATGAAAAATGTAGTCACAAAACATATCGGATTGTCTATACATTCTACTCTGAGCCATATCGGAAAACACCGCAAGCATATGGACTGTACGAACTTTAGGAACTGAAAGAATCGTGACGCACTAATAAATGCCATTCCCACACAAAACTATCATAGCATAACTTTCTCATAAACTGGCCACCTCCCTGCTTTTTTCATCCAATCCCGGAAATCTTGTTGAGCGCTTTCAACCACCTGATATCTCAACCGAGTGATCACAATGTCGAACCACTTAAGTAGTCACACTGGAACTTGATCAATAGAATTAGATTAGCACGAAATGACTAGACAAACATGGCACTGATTACTTCTCAGTGATTAATCAGTTGTTGAGTTAGTGTTATTTAAACGTAGTTTGTATCAGCTGTTTTCTTCCTAAACAATATTGTAAGCAATTGTGGGATAATTCAGATGGTTACCACCTCTTGACCGGCAGCTTTTTGAAATTACTTTTACATTCATCACTTTATCCTTTAATATTACCAAATAATGTAAGTAGAATCATTTTTTTGAAGTATTGTCCACAGCATACATTTAGTATGGGGAGATTTACCAGTCATATATCATATATTCTGAGTTACTCTTGTTAACATCTCTTTACTTAATATAATTTTCACGATAAGGAAAAGTCAAAACACTTAATAAGAGTATATATTATTTCATGATGTTCAGAAGCTGTTTCGTTGTGAACAAATACGGGAAAAATTCCCAATTAGACAACAAATCACTCTGTCTAAACGTTGTCTTTTCTGTGTTTTCTCATCGACGTCCCATTCGTCAGCATACTCGTTGCAAATGGAAGTATGTACATTCTTCGTCGGTAGCAAAAATTTAGGATAAATGTATAAAAATTACGTCATCAACCATTAAGTACTGGATTCGAATTATATTTCAATAGCTTCGGTGTATGTCTTCAACCCATTAGATGTAGCTCATTCTGGTGTTTGAACCCACTTTTCGTCATTATGTAGATCTTTCACTTCATCAGTGTGTTCTAGTTTGTCGGAGTTAACTATTCTTTAAATAAACTAATTATTCCTTAATATGTCCGTTTAAGTATGTATTTATCATCATACCAATTTGTCTAGATTGGATACTCAATCATTTTTGTAGTTCTTTTGGTTGTTTTCGTTCAAACTCTTCTAGGTTGTTCATGGCTATTATGCTTGAATAATATGGTTTTTCCAAAACTAATTGCTAATCACGTGAGTTTTGTTTGTATATTTTTGTCTGAAAACACCTTTTATAGATTTTTCACCAAGGTGCTCGTCTTAGTAGTTAATTGATTACTGATTTTCTATAATTTTCGTCCACTAAATGCTTGTACATTGAATTATTTGGAACATCTTTGCTTTTTACATATTACTAGTAGATTATTTATGTATCTAATGTTGCGATCTCCTTTGTACGATGTTTCGTGTCATTGTTAGTCAAAATTCTGTTATTTTTTAACCCATTGTTAGCTGTTCATAATTTTTAAGCGACTTGATTTTTGTCAATTATAATGAGGCCACTTTCTCACCCAAATATTTCATCTATATTTTCCATCATGTAGATCACTAATAGTGATCAAATTCACAGTGTTCTGTTGTTTTACGGAAGTCAGTTCCGTAGTACCCTCTTTGTAAAATGACAAACACTTCAAGTATTTTATGGTTTCTGAAACAGCTCGTTTTGTTTCCTGACCAGATTCTCACCATGCTTAAAATGCACAAGATATTTTATTGCGTTAGGTTGGTTTGAGCAGCTTTTTATATGTCCAACTATCCGTTCTTAGCGTCTTTGACAAGTGTTCGTCGATGTAGGATATTTGCATACTTCCTAGTGTTCACTAATTTTCGTTTCCCTTGTGGTATAAGTAAAGCGGGACAGTTTTTAACATTTTCTGGATGAACCACAAGTCATTGTAGTGTTCTAGTCAGTGAAGTTTACTTTTTCGCTTATCTATATTGAACTGTGTATTTCTATAGGCGGAATAAGGTCAATAGTTTAACATTCTGTAATACTTAGTGATTTATTTGTTTGGTGAAACTAAGATCATTGATTATTCAAAATGGGTGTTATTATTTTACAGAACCTAGTTGTGGATTTTCTACTTCATCGATCCAGTGGCAAAAGCGTACTGTTAGAGTACTGCTCTAAATTGGTGGTAGACAGTATTGAAGAGGTTACTTCCAATGTTGACAAACCTCTGAACTACAAATTCGATGGATATGGGTTAAATCAACGACTTGATCAGTTTGCGTTCGTCTTTAAACGGATTTGTGAAGTGGGCTACTGTGGGACAAACGTCATGAGTAAATTGCTCACTGACTCTGATCGTAAAATGCCAAGTGCTTTGGCAGCATCATGCCATTGTTCTACAGTTGTGAGTGACACTTTAAATTTAACGTGGATAAATACACTTTTATTACCATTACTTCGAAGGCTTTACTTGAGTCATATTCAGCTCCTGTATATTTTTCTCTATTGTACCGATTTAATTCAGGTAGTTTCATCACACATAAGCCACTGCCTCAAAAACATCAGAAATAAAACTTACTATCTCAAATCGTTCACCGGTGATGAATGAAAAAATAGACTTTGTACTTGTGGCCATTTGCACATTTTTCAAATATTGCAAATGAAACTGTTCAATAAACACCAGTCACACTTCCTTTATTTGTTATTTATCTATATTTCTTCACTTATGATCATAGTTAGTTTAATGAGTATTCATAAAATGTCATAGCTGATAAAATGTGGAGGTAATATTTTAGAGGATATTCATTTCTCTATTTTAGATGCAGCTATAACTTTCCGGACTTTAGAATGTGTTGGAATATGACTGGTCACCGATGTTTATATACGTTTTTAATTAAATAGGTTTGAATTTCAGGTATATACATGTTAAAGTAAATAGTTAATACATCAATTAATCAGGGACTCTTCTCTCAGATAGTAGGACATTGTTTGAATCAATCTAGGGGTAGTTATCTATCCTTCTGATGACCCTAGTTTAGGCAAACTTTACTGGTTCAGTATGAAATGGGTTACTGTTTAAATGTATTGGAAAGCAGACTTTAAGATTTACTACTTTATACAGATATTTTCATTTTTTCATTTTTTTCCTCACACTTATAAAAGGACTTCAAAGTTTTCATATTTTCTTTCGACAGAAGACAATATCCAAAGGCCTACATGCGGGTTCGTCAACCTACATCATTTCCCAACCTGAAATATATTCACATTTATTTTTAAAGAACCAAGGTGTTGAGGTAAATGAGTTTGATTAGTTTTCGAGCTCATAGTAATTTAAATAATATTGTTCAAACCTGTAAGTCTTTATTTATTCACCGGCCATTCACCTTTGAATGAGAGAATATGCTGTTTTATATTTTGCTATTAGGCTTTAAACGGAACAATGAATATGTTTCTGTGATGAAAACCGGTTACATTTTAAATTTTCTTACAGAAAATCAAAGCGAAAGTTTTTTATGATCATCCAAATATATATGATGAATTCTGACACAGACACTTAAATATTATCTAATTTTTCAAATAGGATTTGTCATGTAACTGATATATGTAAACAGTTAAGATAAGAATTTAGGTAGTGATGTTTCATGAGATAAGTTGTGGGAATATCACCAATTACCGGTTTTCATGGCGTTATCTTACTTTTCGCCACATGTTTATAGAATATTGAATTGTTTCGTAAGAATGTGGTAGAAATATCTCAAGTTATTTGGTATCTTTTAATTTATGTAAAGTTGCTTTTTGTAACCGTAATCTGTGGTATATTTCTGTGATGCATATCTTCGTGTTGCTTTTGCTGTTCTCTGATTAGATTTTACCACTTCTAGTTCGCTAATTTTACTGTCCCAAGGTCATGTTTGTTGCTATATGTTCAAATTTGTTCTCGCTGAACATCTAGCTTTTTTGCACTCCTGCCTTATTGGGTTTCATCATTTAGGGATTATGGTTAAAGTGTTGTGCGTAGCAGTTCCCGAGTTATCGAGCTCAGAATAATTTCTGTTCCTGTTAGGGAAATTACGATTATTCTTAATTAGCATTAATTGTAGACCTAACCAAACCAATCTCAAGATAAAACGGAAAGTAGTCAGTTTTTTTCAAAATTTCGCTTAGAGTTTTTGTGGTGAGGCAGAAACTGAACCAAAGAAATAATTTTTGTTTTTCTCCGCCTCTTTTGGTTTACGGTCCATAAGCATAGTCTTAAATCAGTTAATACTACTACCTGAGAAAAGACTTCGCTATTCACTTAGTGTATCGATTCCTTTTATTTGTATCTATCTGAAAAATAGACCTTTCATATCTCTCATAACTGTATTACGTACTAATCAAACAAATATATTCAAGCAGTATATTCCCAAACCAAACTTGAGTGATCATGTTTTTTTTTCTGTTCTCTTACTATTGTTCACATAAATTAGTAGTTTTTTACTCTTGTTCCATTAGTTACTTGGCTTTGATTATTGTGCTTACTAATATAGTGCATCTACTATTCCACTTGTTAAGCTTATGAGTTACAGAATTTGTTGCTATTACATTTGGTTCATGCATCTTTCTAATGATTCGATTCTGTGTCCAGTTAAATGAAATATCTTATTGTTGGACGGTGTTTCTGTTTTAAAATTTTCCATCCAGTATCCTCTAAAGGAAGAAATGCCTTAGACTGTTTTCACTTCCTGTTATAACTTGTGGGATTGTGCCCCTATCAATGTATAACGTAATGATACCGCCAATTAGAGAACAGTGATCTATCGACCGGGCCAATAATGCATAAATCTGTACGAGCTGTTCAGAGTCGTTATCGATCGTGTTTCCTGCCTAGCCCCACCTTTTAAGTTCAGAGCACCAATCTCAGCTTCTGCGATATGAATCATGTATTTCAGACATACTGGGTTTATATAGAAATCAAACAGACCACATTGTACCATAAAATAGGAAACAACATTTGTACAAGACTGTAATTAATAGACTGTGCATAACTTAAGAACAGTAAATCGTATAATAACAGTCCATGGGTCAAAATAAAACTCATAGTAAGAGGAACATGAATATGAATAGTTTAGTTACTTAGCAACCATACAATAAAAATATATGTATAGTATTAATCCAGAAATGCATTCCAACAGTTACCATTCACTATTCTCATCGGGATATAACACTTCTCTGTATGCTTTTTTTCGAAATATCCTAGCTTTCAGATAATTATTCAAACCATAAATTACTTCTATTTTGTATACTTATTTTGAATGCAATTTAATGAATGCTTTGCTGGTCTTTTTTATTTATAGAGACTAGAAGTCCGTAAATTGTTTCGCTCTATACTGATTGAATATATTCGCATATTTTCAGAGCACGACATTTGTGTAGATGTGAGTATCATCAATTTTTAGTGTTATAAGTACAATAGTTTTATCTAGCTAAACTTGTTAGTTGCACAATATAGAATTATGCTAAGTAGAGACATGCAGTAAGAAAAAAATGATTACAGCTGTGCCTACAACATTTGTATCGTTAGATAAATATATATAATTATATCTCAAATGAACCCATATTTGCTGTTTATGAAAGCTTATGTTTACATCCAGTGTTTTTGACAGATTCTTAATGAATAAGTGATGGTAACCTCTGTCAGTGGTCAAGTACCACCTGGCATTATAACATATTTATGGGATTTGTTTTCATGGCTATGTTCTACAATTATCAACATTCTAATAAAAGGATTAACCACTTTGGATAAAAAGCGATATATGATTTTTTCGTGGGGTAACCTGGGACATTTATTGCGAATTTTCTCGCTCCACAGAGTTTTCATCTCACTATTTCGGATTTGCCAGTCAGCTCCCAGAAGTAGGAATTTTCGGAAAGATACTAAAAGGTTTTGACTTGGCAGTCCAACCAAATAGTATTTCCTAAGACTTTTCTTAGTATCATTCAGACATCGTCCTAAGCTGTTTTTTATCAATACATATCAATATGATATGTTTATTTTAAACCGAAATTCAGAGAAAAAGTAGACCCTTGTTATGCTCGTGACTAAATGATTGATAACGAAATATGATTAAAATTACTTTTGGAATTTTCGTCATATCAGTTAAAGTTGTCTACTTCTAAAAACTACTAGAAATAAGAAGCATCGAACAGTCGTTTAGCTTTTTCCTTTAAATCCTCATTTTTGTCACCTTACAGGGTTTCTCAAGAGACAAACAGACCCTGCATTGGTTACTTTACAGTTTGCTCAATGGCTCGGAACTCAAATATCTACATTTACCAGTTTCACATACCTTTTGTGTATTTTCGGATTGTAACTAGCAGTGGAGTCCAGGGTAGCACATCTTACCCTGTCTATGACACGTTATATGGACATATTAGCATCCTAGGTTTTACATGTTCACTGAAATTCGGACTAAATATCTATCTCTTTGAATACCGACTGACGAGTTCCAGCTTGGAAAAAGTACACATCACTGATTCCACTGCCAGTCGTAACTGAAAAGCATATCAGAAACGTATGTACTTTTGCAATACTGGGGTATCCATGTGGGGTGCATGTATGGTAACAAAGATTGCTATGATAAAGTTCAGAATGTGAACAACTCAAAAACATTGATTTTTGAAAATTCCTCACATACGTTATCACCATTATAACGTATTATAATATGAACGGGAATAATCGACAATGATACTTTCCAATCTGCATTAGTTATGTGTTTTGTCTATCTTAAATTCCACGCCAGATATTTTGAATGTGAAGTGACCTTTACACTTCCAAATTCTCGTCACATAATAGATGATTCTGCACTTTTTTTCTCATATTTAAATCTTTATTGACGTTTTTTGAATTAATTTCTTTTCAGCATTGTTTCTACGAAATGCTCGTCAATCTCACTGCCAGAATGGGGGATTACACACAACTCAGTTTTTATATTCAAAGTCGTCTACTTGCTGATTCAAAGCCTACCGTAATACCTTATCTCATAAAAATGAGATTTTTAAGTTATTGGTTTTTTGGCTTGTAATTTGTTCGTAAATAGTTAACTGATTCTAGCAATTCACCATTTCTCCCAATACACATTTGTGGTTCATCCAAGATTCCATTTGTTTATTATCATGGTAACCACTTTTTGTAATTTTAGTTCTAACTTATAGTTGATTAATCTGCACTAGCTGTATCGTAAGGAACACTCTGGACGGTTGTTAGTAATCGCTTATCGCAACTTAGTTAATGAGAGTAAATTCACAATAGTTAAATTTTATTCTTCGATGTATTTTGTTAACCTTATTATTTATAATCACCAAGCATAAACTGCTCTTTGTAGCGTATGAACATTTGATCGTGCTGAGAAAAGCAAAACAATTTTATCGTATTTTCATGATATTATTCATATCTTTAACCTTTGTAACCAGAACGTTTGTTGATTACGTAATTCTATGCCGGGGTTAGCTATTTTTCAGTTCTTCTATGTAGCCTATGTACATCATATTTTAAAGCTGAAAGTTTTAATTCTTAAGAAAACTTCTAGATGATATTCTGTTTTATTTTCCTCATAGACGACTTTCTAGCTGGGTCCACTTTGCACTCTAGAGACCAAACGTTTGCTAATTTTTAAAATCATTTTTTCTGTTTTATAAAAATCGACCATATCTTGTTATCTAGTGTATGACTTTTTATAGGCACTTCAACTACTTTCTTTGGAAAGTGTGTATCCCGCAGCAGGACAACTTGGTATTGATATGCTAAAGGTAGGTCACCAATCCAATGTTTGATTACACGAGCTAAGTTCAATAGGGATTGTATGTTGAGATTTAAAAAAAAAATAGAAGTTCACAACTCTTTCCGACTTAACATATTTAGTACTGTCCTCTAAAAACGATAAAGCTCTGATCAAATGATGATCTTTTGACAATGCAACTATTAACCATCTAACAATAATAGTTACTCTCATTCTTGAATTTATTTCACTCTAATGATAACAGTCTGCTTACCTCAAACTGAATGTCAATTCCAAAGCTGTGAACAACTGACTAATAACTTTGTACTGTTTTATTCAGTCTGAATGAAACTTAGGTAATTATAATTATTGTTTGTCAAAAAATAATTTAGGATAGCAACCAAGAAACGTTCCTTTACCTGAAATTAACTGATCACTGTTATGACTAAAGTTTATTTCAAGAATTACCTTAAAAATATTTGTTGGTAAAATCCAATAATTAGTTTCTGATTGATGAACAAGTTGTTGTGGTCGATCCACACTTTCTGAGTAGAATGATTCAGCCGTAAAGGTTACATCGCATTAGGTTCACTGGAATAACACATCAAGAGTCATTCAGAATCTAAAAATCTCCCAGCTTCTTTGAAAATCTATAAATCTATATTATATGGTACTACAGTAAATAATAACTAGTTTACGTAACACTCAAGGTGATAAAATCAGCAAGACATTTAGTACTCAGTAGAAACAAGGGTAAAATATAACGAATTCAATATAGCTGGAGGTATGCAAAACCCACCAACCAATCGTAAAGTAGTTAATTTACAACCAACGAATGAAATATTAAGAAGAAATTTGTTCGTCACTAATAATATTATTTTAGTGCTCATATGTAATACATTGTTTAACTTGACAAACTTCGAAAGAATTTGGGCTGTTAGAATTTACTAACGGCTAACAGCTTGTTCTATCGACATTGCATTTGGTTGGTTATTGCCAAACTTTTCATCTGATTGTTGGTATATTTTTATTATTAGTGTTGTAATTGTTTATGCATGTAACGATCGCTACTGGAATTCTGACTTGAGATTTTAGGATCGAATTTCTGTGCCAGTACAAAATCCATATCGCATTTAAATTCCTATGCACAAATTGTTATGAAATTTTGAACAATTAGATTGTCCCCATAATAAAAATTACTTGTGTTGGCTGTTCAATATTTTAATGTCTCTTTATATTTTTGTGTTTATTTCCACGAATCTTCTTATTAGAGATTGAATACATGCAACAGTGAATTGTTCGATGCATTACTGATAAAAGGACGGCCATTAGAGGCATTAAGGTAATCAGTTTTTCTCCAAAAGTCCACGTCTTAGCTTTTTGTTTAAGACGAAATTGAAGTTATATATATATTAGTATATTAGTATATTCTACATCCCCGAAACTCACATGCAAGATCATGGCATGATCAGTATTAAGAACTGACTCAATTTACCCTCCGTATATTTGGGGCCTTTTGTATAAATTATTGTTGCTTCGTCGAAATAGTCACAGGATTAAGATCGAAGGTAGTACCGGCTCTCCTATACTGCATTTCAGTAGACAGTCACTTGTGAACTGTTCAGTTAAATGGTGACGTGAAACCCGGAAGAATAAAGATACACGCCCTTTCCTTTTCATATTCTCTATGACTATGCTTTCACTGACTAATTTTAATAAACGAATGGAAGAATTTTACAGAAAGTTCTCTGCTCTTCTAACGGAATCTAAATGCTCAGCCACACTAATCATAGCATTTAATTTTATTACCCAAGTAGGTGGGCTAGACCAAGCTAAAAGACACCTGGGTAGACCTTTCGTTGTCCCAGCTCAGCGAACGAAAATAGGTAACCATGTCCTGCAACTAAACGCACCCAGCAACTTTAAACACATGAAGAGACATCGTCTGAGACGGTGACCCATCAAGATTTATTCAACGATGAGTACGAATAGATCATATTGCCACCAGCCATTGTTGAAGAGGCTCTGTGGAATTATGACACTAAATCACGAACACTTATCCACTCTAATCATGTTCTAGTCAAAGGTCGTCTTTGATCACATTTTACTAGACTCGGAAAAGCGACAACCGGAAGACCCATTAAGGTTCACCTCAAGGACGAAAAGTCGAGAGGATATTGTAGGAACAACTAGAGATGCAATTAGTGATGTTCACTTCCATGTAAATTTCATGATATCCAAATAGATGTGAAAACAGCAATGACATTTACCCGTGGATTGAACCAAAAGGTTAAGAAATATAAGTGGATCTTTATGTTGGTAACTGAGTTGGTAGACTCTCATAAACTCATCTCATCAGTTTCTGAACACTGAGAAACGAAGACAACCTAATTGTAGACTAGCAAATAGTCTAAGCAATGATTGTCAACTGTGGCGGCCAACGAAAACAGAATAGGTAGGAAAAAAGTGGCAGTGGTTAATGTTTGAAAAATTTTTAAACTTATTGAAGAAATAGGTAGTAAAAAGTCAGGTGTTAGTGAGAATATCTTCAGAAAAGATAGAACTCTGATCTTCTTTCTACTGAGACAGTTAAATCTATGGGAAGTACCTCTTTAAGTAACCTCTCAACTGTTTTCTTGGTACTCTTCAGTTATCCACTCTTCCCAGACAGCCTGAGAGGAAGAGCGACATGTACTTATGACTTCGAACGAATTTATAAAAGTCATCTCTACAGTTGTGAGATGTGGTCTTTCTAAGGGTTCTCCACAGCTTTTGGGACCGCTGAGTGAGCAGTGGTAATGTTAAATGTATTGTACTAGGTGATGGTAAGTTAATTCATAGGGTAGTGAGTCTTCAACTGAAATGGTTATGACCTGCACTGTATGTGTTCAATCAGCATGTACTTCGATGCCCAATGTTTTCTGATCTAGGGGTAGGTTGGAAGAATCCCAGAGGTGCGTAAACCAAAAAGTGATGTCGTTCTATGAAATCATTGACCTTTGCTAAGGTAGGTTTGTTGGTGCCCGTACTATTATCATAATTAATTATCGGAGACGTTGTGTGACTTGGGTTTAAATCGGTCGTAATTGTTTAGATTCATGCACTCTTTGTCATCCCGTAGATGTTGTGTTTCAAAATTATCTTATGATTTCTTACTCTACGAATTTGTATCTTCTCAAATTATGTCGTCTACTACCGCTGATACTTTTACTAATCTACCATTTGTCTCAATGTGCTGATTTGGTGTGACAGCATAGACTGATGCACATATATGCCAGTTACTACGTTGTGTATGATTTAATGGCCATACGTTCATTACTTTGCTTCTGGTTTTATTCTTTTGTATATGTTTGACAGTGCAATATTTTCCATAGTTTACAACCAACTTCCGGATCTAAGGGTACCAAGCTTTCAAAGTGTAGCATTTGTGTATGGGAATTCGTCATACATATAATTAACTTGCCACCATTCTTTCTTTTATGCAACAAAATGCGAGTTTTGGCATTCTTTATGTCTCTAAATATCACCATTAATATGGTTTCCAACCATATGATAATAAATTTATTAGTGTTAAGAATGTTTAGTGTTACTTTTAGTTTTCTGAACACTAGGTAAACGTGAGCAGTATATTCTCGTTTTTTGTATCGCTCGCAGATTTGCTAGGCTGCATCGCTCAGAAAATGTCATTGACATGGAGAATGTTCGCAATTATCTGGATGCTATTCAACAAATCGAAGATTATATGGAATTATATTGTACTCACCATTTTCTTAAAGAAAGTTCAATGTGTATGGAGTCTTATTGGGACTCAGGTACTTTTTGAAAACTATTATTCTAAAAGCCTTATCACTTCTAGATTGCTTAAACTTGAAAATGGTCTTGAATTCAAATTAATTCCTACATAGTTACTCATTCGATTACCGAGTTTTTCAAGGGCTCCGTTTTCAACCGTTATTTCGGGTGCTAACTATTCAGGAGTTTAGCTTTTTTGAATTATTAGGTTACATTTTATTTATTAAGCATTATGTGTGAATACTCCGTATCCCTCGTCAGTAAAACGAAAAATTTACACAGTATACTTTCTAAGACTTGTCACCATAATGTTATAAATCAATGGTTTAATTTCTAGGTAAAAAGGCTTGTGTATAAATTGTTACAACATTTTAAATTAAAATTGAAATACTGCTTCAGCTTATGTAATGTCAAAATTTTAAATAGTTTAGTAAGGATTCCTTATGGACTTAATAAGATCTCTTTATTGATAATATCATATATATCTGAATCATGAAAATAATTGTTTAAGGAATTCAACTAATTGTGGAGAGATATCGCTTATCATAATTTATGAAACAACTTTACTGTCATTACGATTATTCATGTATCGTATTTAATATTACTGTACGTAATGTACATTCTCAATACTTGTTAACTTATACATTACAAAGAATGGTATTGGTATGCTAATAACGTGCTTCTTCATGTATTTTTACGTTAAAACAAAATAAAATGTCAATTATGTTATTTCTTGATTCAATAATAACTGAAAAAGTATTTCAAATATATCCTTTAGCTAATACGTAATTTTATTCAGATCAATGTATATCTTATAGGGATGTAAGAATCGTTTGGCCTAGGTCTTTACACAGCCATTATAATGCAATCTTGAACAAATGAAGCTCTTCTTGGTTATACATTCTCATAATTATCCATGAGATGCATATTTCTATCGGTTTTTTTCAGATGAATGCCGTAAATATTGTACCGAATACTTTAGTGACCTGTTTCCGTCCACTTAATTTGAACTGCAATTTCATATAAAAAAAAAAGAATGTCTTCTTAACCCTTATTCTGTGAACTCGTATATAACTATATCATTTTTTTCTTTTCTGTTGTTTCATTTTTGTAAGCGTACTACACCATGATGCATCCAATAAAGTATACGTTGTGTTGAATTTGTAAATTAGTAGACGTTTCGTTCGCTTCAATATGCCATAATACAACGTTTACCATAATAAAAAACCTGCTTTTGTTCAAGTAATTTGTTTTCTTGTTGACGACTCTGTCATGGATCTTAAAAAGTAATCTCACTAGCGCGAATTAAAAGCATTATGTAACGGGAAGATTGAGATCTCATCGTTACTGATACCAACCAATCTGAAAAATTTGGTATACATAAATGATCGTAACAGCATTTTGAATCGTTTCTGTAAACTTAGACCTACACTTCGTTTGCAGTTTGTAGCTAAATGTTTCACATATTCATTAAAGTGGTCTAAATATTCATTGTTGATAGTTTTGTTTGTAGTCGTTTCTATCGTTAATACACTTGAATCAGTTCACACTGACCTAATAAAATTAGTAAGATTCATTTATCAAACATCACTGTTGAACTATATTTTTTTATTTTATTGCTTGGATTCAAACGTTACAAGTACAAATCCTGATATCAATCGTTGGAAATCGAAATGTTAATCTAGTAAGGTGGGTTAAGTTATTTACTGAAAGTCATCTTACAAATATGTCTTGAAATATCGATGACTCCGCTGTGAAATAAATACCCACTCCCCGGTAAAGTGCATTATTTTGTGTTAAGAATTCCGAAATGTAGAAATAAGTGTCCAAAATATCAGATTTATCTGGCAGCTTCCTTCGGGTTAGGAGCTCTTGAAATTACTTTTAGAGACTGGAAAAATGCTGAAAATACTTCTGTCTATCAACGTTCCTTAAAAATTACCACGAGGACTTTGAAAAACGACAAGTTGTGTTGTTTTCCTCCGTTTAGTTAATTACCAATTTTATCTTGTTTTCCAGAAGCCTCTAGAATATCAAGGCCACGTAACATTATAAACACCCATATATTATGTTTACAAACTAACCTTGAAAGTAAAACTTCTTCCATAATTCCGCTGTTTTGTTTTTTCGTTTCGGGGTTCAAGAGTAGAGAGTTTCTGGAGATAAGTGATTCAAGGTCCAAGTTTTCAAACACTAGACAAATCACGTTATGGTAAAAAGAGCATTTCTGTTTCGCTTCACTGTCTAAATTTAAAATAATTAGAAATAATGACATACCGAATTACTATCGAATCCTTGTTACGGTAGTAATGTGTGGTCCACTACATTCAGATAAAACACTGCTTTTGAACAGAAAATGAAAAAGGAATCAACTTCATTATTGTTAGGAGCCAGTTATACTATATGTCAGCCGTATTTCAATGTAGCAAGAACGAATATATTCGCACAACAAAATGGGAATCTTTTGTGGCATCGTTACAGCGTAATTCCAATTTCACTCACTTACCAGTTCTGAATTATTGCGGTTACTGATAAGGAGTTAACTACGCTGTTTCTATTTATGTATGTTTATACAAAAATGACTCGTCCAAATTAGATACCTAACGAATATGCTACTAAATAACTTAATAAATTGTTGGAATGTGCCCAAATAAAGGAAACGTCTATGTGATTGGTTGCGTAAATTGGTAAATAGAATTGTAAGTACTATTAAGAGAGACCTGTCCCAGTTAGAGGTGTGTCAAATATGGAGAATTGTGCCAAATTCAGCGTAATGCCTCAAACGGGATAACTTAGCATTCAGTTTTTTAATATTTCAAAGAAGGTCCAATGCGAAGCGATCCGCATCCGAATAACTACTTCCGTTTCTTGACCACTCCTGGAAATATGTAAACCTTTATGCGAAGGGTGCTTCCCAACAGAATCTTTCCTCCAAGAACAAGTACTGTTAGAAGCAATATTTTGTGTTATAATTTCATTGGCGTTACTACATAAGTTTTACCATCACGTGGTTCTATGCACATTTTATCAAAAACATCGTATTCAAGATAATTTCTTTCTGCGAATAAGTCGTACTATACCGATGTAGTTTACTCGGATTTCATAGTGATTATAGTCGAATGGCAGATGTATTGTTAACTTGTCACTATATTTCAAAACAAGATAGCTTTCCCAAATCGCATGTATATTTCAAAGTAATTATTTTCAAATAGTGTCTGGACATATTTTCTCATTGAACTCCAGCGAAGTTTTAAACTAGAATAAACAACCATGAATCTGGTACATTCTTCATAAGGTATGATGATGCAAACTTACTCTTATGCTTATTAATTTTCGCATATATATTCTTAGTTACTGAGCCTATCGCCTAGAATATGTAGAGCTCAAACATTACTCCGATTTCGTTTAATATTATTTTCAAATCCTAACTATCGTGATTCCCTTAATTTTCTTTTCGATGTTTGGTTTTGTCTTTTATTCATTGATTGCTAATATCAGAAAAATAACTACATTCATCATTTGTTGCTCAAGATCCATCTAATTCTATTTAGTCAACTATATAGGCTTAAACTACTGGCGTAACTGAGTAATTCTATAATTGTCACTTTAAGTTGTTTGAGAGATGTTCAATCATCACAAAATTGGATTCAGTTTTGAATTTCGTATTAAAGTTTAACGAATAAGATCATGAAATGTTTTGATAGCGGGACACCAGAATTTGTATAGTGTTTCAGAACCCTACAATTAATTACTTATCTGGTTCAAAGACAAACCGATTGTTTATTGCAATCAAACCTAAATATTTGTCTCAAACTACTTTTCTATTCATCAACAATATGTCTATCTTATTAAACGTTTTGGATTAAAAAGGGCTGTAGTTTTCTTGTGTGAGGTTATCATATCTTGATTGGCTAATCTGATTGTACTATCATATGGTTAGCTGTAGTGTAGTAATACTCTTCGTATCGAAATACAAACTGTGTAGTAGGATAGTGTCTGTAGCTATTCCCTTTTCACTTTAATTGATAAGAAATACTTCTCTATATTCGTCTTTTTTCTAGCTGTCTAAACGCAAAGTTTTGCTTTATATCCAATCTGCTAATTGAAAATCAACAATAGGATTCGAACCTGTCACAGTACGATTAAGTAGCAATGTCGTTCTTAAAAACTTGGATTTCTGGTGGTTTCACGACTCTTATTAGTTCAGATCAAAAATCAACAATGTAAAATGAGTTTTATGAATCACTCCTGAATTGTTCCTTCTTAATCCAGGTATGTATATACATTAGATGACAATGAGGTAACATAAAATGACTATTTAACTCAATCAGTTTACTTTATTAGACTTATTTGTTAAATTCGACGCTATGTTTGTCCCAGAAAAGACTTAAGATGATACAAGTCGATCTTATGATATATTCTGTAACACTTAACTATAAGGACGAAAAACTGAAAGCTTATGGAAATCCTCGAAGTTAAAGTTTTCAGTTTCATTTTGTGATTATCTTTTTTATTTGTACACTACATAATGCTCATCTACCAACTAAGCACTCACATTCCAAAAGTTATCATTAGTACCTGTGGTTTTGTTTAGAAAATTCCCTATTTCACTGAGCAAACTCATTTCTCCATAAGGCACTATCTATCGACACCGTGAACACTGCTATAAAATTTTAATCCTAAACAGTGTATATAAAATGATTTTGAAATCTTAATCAGTGATGTATGGATTGATCAAGAAACAATATTTCGTCATAAGGTCTGTCTTTAAGACATCCAGAAGTACTGCGATGAGTGTCGGAATTATACGATACGTTAATTCGATTGCATAATAATCATTTAGCAACATTCTGGATATCCTAAGCCGAAATATATAAACTTCAATATCATATATTAAAACACAAGAATATTTGTCTTACGGTTAGCTTCTTGAGTTTTTTTTATCGTACTTCTTAATGATGTGGTGGAATTCTTGTTCTCCGAAACAGGTAATATGTCAAAATTACGTTCCCAGTAGTCCTACTTGTTTTCGTGATATGCTAACCATATCATATATGAGTGATAAACATAATCCATTGTTTATAGCAGATTATTTATCCTTAACACGATATGGGACCTTGGTAACAACTTAGTAACGCCTTATTGTATTTTTAAATATTATGTTATACTAGGATTGAATAGAAATCACATCAAGTACAAGAATAAAATGTTGGAGTAAATGGAATACAATAAGTGTGTATATATGGGATATCCGGAAATATTACAAAATTTCAATTTTTAGTGATATAGCGGCCATAAATTGTTTTAAACTATTTACTACTTAGTTGTAAATAAATTAATTTTGATAAATGTCACTGAACATATCTATAATGGTTACTATAACTTTTTCCATTAAGATGTTATAACTAGTTATTGGAAGAGGAAAAAAACTACAATAAACGAAGCAATATGAAATACCGACAAGTAAATTTTTGAAAATAATATCGTGCACTATTTAATACTATTTTTATTACTAACGAAAATGAAGGAAGATTCATCTGAAAATTTAAAACAAACTTATTTAACGAGAAATTGAAGTTTCAAACTATATAACAGAACAAGTTGTCAACTTCGCATTAAATATAGATAATCAATGCAAGTAATACTGATTAAAGGCAAAAAATTGGAATTATAAGTTACCTGCTTTCCGTTGACACGATGGAGATCTAATTGAGCAAAGATTTATTAAGAGGAGTACATAAAATTTGTTGTTCATCAAAATATCAGCACAATGAAGGAATGATTTATGAGGTATGGAAAACAGTTTTCATTCATTATTTATCTTTCTATTTATGCTTAACAATCACTAAATAATAAAGCCAATAAAAACAATTGTAAAGTAAAAAGCATGCTGGAAAAACGAATCGACTATAACTATCTATTTTCGACATTGACGCTGGTTTTTTAACGCGTTGTGGTTCATTTGGTGGTAAAAGGGCATCTTTTTGTGTTGTATCTAAAGCTGTAAGTGCAGAATCATTGGTAACTAATTCGTAAAAAACACCCTTTGAAACTTTATCTGGTTTTCCGGACTTAATATTAGCCATCGACATTAAACCTGACTTTGTTAGGCGAACAGACATTTGAGGACTTGGTCTTTCTAGTACAGGGCTATTCTGAATGGCGAAAGCAGCAGCAGCTACCGAGTTGATATATTCACTAACTTTCTCATTTGATCTGCTTGAAGCTGAGTATGCTGAGAGCGCAGATGGTCCCCTTTGTGCATATTGTAATTGGCAAGCAGAACACCATTTTGCTAGTTCACGTCTAACTAGCTTCCGAACTTCTACCTGCCATTCAGATACTTTTTGACGCCTAGCAAGATGAGAAGCAATCGCAAACTCAAGTAATACTCCAGAATTAAACGTTATGCATGCTATTGTCCAAATATCAATTGCTTTGATATACGATACTCTTGGAAGGGAGCTTGCGTAACTGGTCGACTGAGTTATCACACCAAGTAACGTTAGCAAACTTAAATTTACTCTTGCCGGAATCGCCTCTAAACTAACCCAAAAGTTTAGCCATGAAACAACCATTATGAGGATATTTGGTATATAGGTACTTGCTAACCAGTAACCCAACTGCCGTTGTAACGTAAAAGTAGCGTTTAAACATGTATATTGTCCAGTTGATGTGGAGTATCCGCTTGTACAATCATAAGCTCTGACCACTTCAGGTGGGTCAAATTCCGATATCTGCAAATTCTCTGGTAATGTGACAGGTGATATATTTCTCCACACGAAGCTCACTTGCTCTAATGTATATCCATAACTTCCAATATTCATATCGCACTCCTGTGTATCCATAGGGAATGTCCGTAATTCCATCTGACAGGCCATTCGCATGGTGATCTTCTGACTGTACAGTATTTCACCGTTAGGTTGTATGCGTATCAGTAAGTTCTCACAAGTCATTTTATGTAATCGGCCTTCCTTACCATTTCGAAAGAACAAATCTGGTAGCCATATTTTTTCTTTGAAAACTGGAGAAACAATGTTTTTTGTATAATGTTTGAATTTTTCGATTTGATCCCAAGCTAGTCTAGGATCATACCATGCTTGACGAAGTAACATATCAATAGTGTATTCCATATTACGTACATCCACAGATGTTATAGCTGATACAGATATATAAACTGTTACTACTGTTGTGTTACGAATAAGTTCTCCAGGGCGAACATGACTCTGATAGTTAGCGAATAATGTCTCCACAATTTCATCACGAATTGAACTAGCATCTAAAACTGCACATTCGCTGTCGTAAAATATGTATAATGGGCATAATATGAAATAAATTATTTGATGATTAAGAATATGCATTTGAAGATAATTATAAGAATGAAAATTGGTTCAGTCGAAAAGCTAATCAAGCTCAGCTGCCTAAATAGTTAGGCCATACAGCTCACATTAAGTTTTGCTTTAGCCAGTTAAGACAGCCAATCGCTATGATAACTACCTTTCGCTTTAAGTTGACAAATCTGAACGATGATTTAATTTAGAGTATTTTGATTGGTTCATCAAACTAGGCCAGTTAACAGTAACCTTCTCACCTGTATGGTAAAATTATTACAACCACCATTCTGACTAGCCTAGAAAATAAATCTGAAAAATATTTCAAGTTCAGTCTGTGGTACTTTTAAAATGAACACCACAAATAATAGACAGATATAGTTCATTGTGAAAATGACGCTTTCTCAATTCGAACTTGGGCATTTAGTTAGTCTACCAAAATAAATATCTATTGTTTTATTAATCATTATTTTTAAATACTTATTTTACTCTGAAGAAACCACTTTTTCTGCCGGTTTTTAAAAGAAAATCGTTATTTTGTTGCTTGAAATCGCTTGACTAGTTGAAGGTATTTCATAATCAGAGTATGTCTTTTGAGTTCGTCATCAGAGATAGTTGGATTGCGTTTAACTGTACTCTATGTTGTCCATTCCATGGTACAAATTGATCCAATAATTAAAAGGAATTACTTTTGTCATAATTCAAGAAAGATGGAAGATTCTAAGCATACAGTGCCAAGGTAATTATAAATGCATCTAGCATATAACATACTAATACTAAAGACTGTTATTAAAAAGATTGACTCGTTAATTTCACTACTTATGACAGAAAACTATAGCTTAATATAAATATTACATTTTGGATGCTAGACAACTAGACTATCTGAACAAAAATACCTATGACCCTCGGTAATGGTAGTTTTACTTTTAAAGAAATTTGAAGTTTTTACGAAATCTAGACAACACTTATTCCAGTAAACTAAAACTAAATTTCTGAATTCCATCAACCTGATCGGTATTTGGAAAGGCTTAAGTGTGGTCAGTAAATAACAGTTTCAGAGGAATACTAATAATTCATTGAAGAACGTATGAAATATGTTTTACCTCTCAACAATTAGTGATATTTGTGTGACTGTGCTTAAATGACAAATTCTATCGTTGCTGCATCTCAGCAACGAACTGTTCTATTTTATATGTATTTAGACTCTATTCCTTTTTTTAGAGCATCACTGAATGTTCATATGTTTTGATGAGCAGCATCAATGGGTTGGGTAAAACCTATATACTACCACTCTACCTCACTGTTCACTTTAGACGTATATTCCCAAACTTAACCGTAGATATTCCACAGTATAACTTCGAAGTCGGATCTCTGTAGCATTAACATCTTTTCGGTCTCTCAGTTCGGATTTTTTTTCAAAGTGACTTATTAATACTTTGATTTTCTCTCCATTATCTACATATAATTGTAACTCAGTAGATTGTCAAATACAATTAAGACATCTACAGCTAGTACAGGAGCTAATGCTGCTAACTGTCGGATTCGCAAAGCAAAATTTTCATCTGTCATATAGCGTTGCTGAGAGTTTTCTGATCGATGTAGTTTCCACCATAAGTAATTCCTCAAATGGAACGAGCAATGTTCGTGAAATACATTCGGATATACTTACCGGAATGTTAAAAAAGATAAAAATTCATTTTTGTCCTATCCAGTGTCATGCAGAAGAAAATTCTCCCTTCTTACAGTCGTCTTAGATTCAGAAAGCAGAGGTAATACACTCAATTAACCTGGATTTGATAAGGGGTCTGATGGTCATGTTTCAGTGGGTTCATATCTGGAAGTTGTGGAGAAACTGCATTCGACAAACCGTCAGATAACCTAGCCACTATTGGGTATATTGTTCCTGGTGATGGGGCTGCCCAACCTTTTATTCTACTAATTTTTTTCCTCCTATTTACTCTAGCTTTACCCGAAACCTGATTGCAATCCGTTAGTTGTTTTATATCAACTTCATACTGCGTATAGCAGTGCAACCTACACTTCCCCGTATAATTTGAGAATGCATCTCCAAATCTTTGTGTCATTATTCACTTTCACTCTTTTCTGAAGATAGCTATTTACAATCAAAACTTCAGGGTTCGTTTGAATTTATGTATTTTAGTCCCATTCAGATGAACCAGATTAAACTATAACCTGGAATTTAATTTGTTGTTTTCTTATATAATTGCTTCACTTTGAACTCCAACCAAATAATTTATTTTAAAATAAATAGGTACTAATTTGTTTTATATACAATCACTTTCACTACAATTAATGAATCGTAGTTTAGTTAACTATCTTTATTTTCCCTATAACTTGCAACTGTACCGACTACCTAATTAAATCATTTTATAACGAACAAGTAGTTATTTTTCATTTGCCCGCCTCTGTGAATCCATTTTGACACTCGCCCTTGGCTTATTATATTAATTCACTTAATATATTGGTGACATCATTTTATAATTTAATAAAGTTTCTCTCTAACGCTTGTCTTTTGGGACTCGCGTTAATAGAGATTGGATTTCATAAATACATGTCTTCCTGAGTAATCAGAAGCCATTGATTAAAGCATCTCCACAACTGATGTTTTGTGTAGTTATGACAGATTTCTGACAACAAATAGTAAAGCACTTATGATTTTAAATTTACACATTATCTTGTTTTATCAATAATCATATTTATAAAGCTCGTATAAACAATTGTGGAATTCACGTTTAGTTTAATCACCGATCAACGTGTACTGGAAACGATTTTGACAAATTAGGTTTTAATCGTCAAGGGAATGTTAATTTACCATAAATTACAGTCTACCAAAGCTGTATTCACCCATTTAACATTGTGTATTTATCTATTAACCTGCTTGTATGGAATTACACCCGAACTTGTCCCACTAAAGTTTGCTGAGTCGATTGATTTTTTGACTTATTAATATTGTTATTACTATTATTACATCATATTAAGTTAATTGCCATTTATCATTTGCAATAACCCTCCACTATTTGCCTAAATAAAGTCACATTAAAACTTTGTATCTTGTTGCATGCCTTTGACAACATTTGGGCTCTTTGATCCTCTTATTTTCGAGTTACATTTACTCAGTCATTATTTTATATTACACAATAATATAAACTGTACTCCATGCATTCCATTCATTATGTTTGTGAATGTTCTGACATAAAATATGGTCATCACATTAATTATTGTATATACATAAATTGATAGTATTCCTACTGTGGCTGGATTTCATAAGATACCAACAAAATAGTGATTGCTTTAAATGTTGTAAAAATGATTGCTTATCATAACCATATAAACCATTTTGCACTGAAAGAACGATTTATTAAATTGGCTTCGAATCATACGTTCTGTTTTGTTAAATTCAATAAAGTTTTAATTGCGCAGCTTATGAAAATTCTTTTTAAATATGTACTTCATCTTTTACACAAGATTGTTATATGTTAAAGAAGAATAAACAAATGGTAACTGCTAGGAATTATTTATGGACTATTATTACATATATTCTTATTGGATAACTATTAAGTAACTAGAGTATATACAAGTATTTACATTGTAAGCTTTCATTTGATCTATTGGCTACTATTGTATTATTTACTATTCTCAAAGTGTTCGGGTGGTTTTAAATTCAACATTGTCAAGTCAACCTAATGTATTTCAAATTGGAATAATGGTCATGTTTACATTCATGTAGTCATTTAACTTGTCATATGATAATGTATTTTTTGTTAAAAAAAAACTTGGTTATGCTGTGAATTTTGCTCTGACTGTACTTTTCATTTGCCACGTCCGACCTTGTTACGCCGGACATGCATGGCATGCCTAATCAAATCGTTGTGTGTTTCTAAGTAGACAGTCGATGAACAATGTTACTGGAGAAAGGTTTGTTGTGCTGTTAACTATATTTTTATGCGTAAATGACTGTTGTCTTCAGTCCCAAAACAATATCGCTTGTTCTCTGTTAGGTAAGTCTTACCGGATTATAGTTCGTGTTTTGGGTTTATAGGCTTAATTATCTACATTTAACTACTTTGAGTAACATGTCTGTGCAAATTACACAATAATTATGACAACTGCTTAGTTTAGCATTCTTGGTTATTGTATAATTAAGTTTAGTCGATATAATTATACTATTGTTAAGTATAGTGCGTGAAACATGTAATAAACCAAATCAGTTTAATGAGTAGAGCTGCTCACTCATATCCGTTAGCATGCCTAAGCGTCACAACTAGAAAACGATCATTGTGAAATTATGTATGCATCACAGCGTATATAGCTCCAGGAAGCTGAAGTTGAGAGCCTAGAATTTGTGCAGAACAGGAGGAATCACAAGGGTGTTACTTTGATGCATCATATTTATCGTATTTCTACTAGCCCTAACATATCACTAATTCATTTCGTTAATAAGTTACACGTAAGGTAGTAGTTATATGGATCCATTGTAATAACTTAGCTTTTAACAAATACGACAGAGAAACTGCAGCGACTCCCATCTCAGTCAGCTTTTAATGCGTAAACTGATTCAAATGAGTCTGCTTGCAAATAGAAAAAAGTACCTTGGATGCTGTTATTGTCATGTATTATAAGATAGTGTTCATTTTGAAAAAGTGATAAGTATGTCTGGTGTTTATTTGTAGACTGTACGTCTAGTTCTGACCATATTTCTACCACTAAACAATTTCCCGAGCGTTAAAATCGACAGCTGGACAGCTAAGTGTCTGTGTTTTTACTTTCCTGCAAAACAGCAGTATACAGTCCTGGATGAGGAGTGTTCTGCGTCTTAATTAAATGAAGCCGGTTGTGGACAAACATTAAAAATCTTTTTGACAACTGGGAATTTTAATTTGACAGACACTAACTCTACTTGTATATCTTCCCGTAAAATCAGACGCAGATGCATCAGAACACTTAAATGGGAGGAAAATGATAAAAGCTGCATAATACATTACTAAGCCCATACTATGCTTTGCACAGGTTGTAGCAGCTGACTTAATCAGAGTAAATCACAGTTGCATAAATTCTTTGCTTAAAAACATGTAATTTGTTTATTTGCCTATTCCATATATTTGACTAAAGCCATTACTACTTT